GAATGGATGAATTCTAGATTTTTATGATCAGTGAAGACAGTCAAAGCATGCTTAGCTCCTTCCAACAGATGCCTCCATTCAAAAAAAGCTTCCTTAATTGCCAGCAACTCCTTATTCCAGGGGTGGGCAACTTCGGCCCTCCAGCTGTCATGGAACTACATGTCCCATGAGGCATTGAAAGGCTGACAGTTGCATCATGACTCGCAGAGGCATGATGGGACTTGTAGTTCCACAACAGCTGGAGAGCCACAGTTTGCCCACCCCTGCCTTATTCCCAATGTTGTAATTCTTTTCAGCTGATGACATCAAGCGAGAAAAATATGCACAGGGATGAAGCTATATTTTTTCTCCTCGTCACTGAGAAATGATAGCTCCCACGGCAGAGTCTGAGGCATCCACTTCCACAATAAAAAGTAGCTCAGGATCTGGGTGTACCAATATTGGTGCAGAAGTGAAAAGAGTCTTTAGCTTACTAAAAGCAGTTTGCGCCTCAGTAGACCATGCAAAGGGCACTCCTTTGTCAGTTGTGTAATTGGTGCCATTACTTTAGAGAAGTTTCTTATGAATTTCCTATAAAAGTTGGCAAATCCAAAAAATCGTTGTATTTCCTTAACGTTTCCAGGGGCAAGCCAATCCACCACTGTCTTGATCTTTTCAGGATCCATGCTCATTCCTTCTGAAGAAATGATATATCCCAAGAACTGGATCTGGGTTTGTTCAAACACATTTCTCCAGTTTGATGTAAAGTCGGTTCCTCCTTAACCTTTTGAATACAGTGCAGACATGCTTGCGATGCTCCTCCAGGTTGTTCAAAAATATGAGAATAGCGTCCAGATATGCAAAAACAAACTGGCCCAACAGATCTTGAAAAAGATCATTGATGAAGTGCTGAAAAGTCACGGGAGCACTCCTCTCCGGCTGCAGTGGATGCAAGTTCCTGGGTACCTCAGGCTCTACTGCCGTCACTTCTGTAGGAGAGGCCAGGGATTGATTGCAGCCTACTGAGATATAGCTGGGTAGACATAGTGATCACCTCTCCTCCATGAGCAGCGCTTATACATGGCATTCTCCTGTGGGAGCTGGCTATACTTGCAGATGTTTTTTGATATACAACACAAATGCGCATAAAGATTGTGTTTCTGGTGAGTGCGCAATCTATAACCTATTTTCTCACCTTTTCCACGGTTTCAGTCATTGGATGTTTGAAGATCATCTGAGATCTCACTATCATTGTCACCTTGGACTTACCTTTAAGTTGATTGAGTACACCTCTTTCACGATACCAGCCACACATTTAGTGGCACACACATTTGCACAGTGTCACTATATTATGTATATTTATATATGAACTTATTGGATGTGCAGAGACATGGCTTCAATCAGGAAGTTCATGGGAGGAGCAAGGAGTTCCAAGTTCATTAGAAAACAAGGCACAAGGCAGGATTGTCCAATAGATCAGGCAGCACATTGTACAGCATCCCAGGTAGCTCAGTGAGAAGGTTTACTGCCTGACACAGTTGAGGTCCCAGGTTCAAGTCCAGGCCCTGACAAATTTGTTGATTTAGTTTATCTTTTCACTTTATATTTTACAAAGTGCAACAATGATTTACAGACTAGAATGCTAATATTTCTTATTTAAAGCAATCCTGTCAGGAATGGACTTGCCAATAATGGTGGGACTCACCTGCCTTGTGGGCTGCAGTACCAGGGCTGGCCAGCGGGTGCTCTCAGCAATCAGAGACTCAACCCTGCAGTCAGCCAAACACCTGAAGCTGATTACGGAGGTGTATTTAGGGGATGGCCAGACCTGCAGTCTGTGCCTTGGTGTGTGTTTTTCCATGGGCCCCTGTATCTTGTTACCTGCATTCCTGTTCCTGTTCCTGTTCCTGCCTGACTGACTTGTTGCCGACCCTGCCTGATCCTGACCTCTGCTGACTTCTCCGACCATTCCCTGCCTGCTCCTCCTGTTCCTACCTGCCCGATTGTTATTGACCCGGCCTGCCTGACTACGCTTGCATTGTATGTATTGTTATCTGTGGGTGGTTTAGTTTGGTTCGTTTGCACTGTGTTTATGTTTTTAGTATTGCACTACGTTTTGTATTGTTAGTATTAATAAATTATACTGTTTATAACATATCTGAAGCCTGCGTTTCCCTGCGTCAGTTCACATATCTCTGGTCATACCCGGAGCCCTGACAAATCCTGTCACAAAAAAATGGAACAAAGTTAACACAAGTATCTAGAAGTGGGTGCCTATACAACTATCTCATGGTTTTCAAGCACTGTGGGAGCTCCCTTTCATGCTTATTGGAAACCTGAACTGAAGGAATATGTAGTCTGTTATTGTACCCATCATTTTACAAATAATAATTGCCTTGCTGTCATATTTCAAATATGAATCATTCAGACAGAGCTAGCAAGCACATCAAGAATTCTGACTTTACTTGCTGCATACACTTTTTAAAAATAAAATAGTTCTAGTTGTGATATCCACCCCCTCTGTAGCACTGTCACCCTGCAATAATTTATTTGTGCTGCTGGATGTCCCTGGTTTTTTAAATTGAGATGTGAGGACATCTTGTGAGTGCAGAACAACCATGGACCAGTACCCTGAGGGGGTTACATCATGGACCAGCTACCTGCTGTTAACCAAATCTTTAGATTATGAAATGTAATATTTCTCTGATATGATTTGGTAAATTAAAAGTTCTTACCCTGAAGTAGAAGCTTAAAAACAACAGCAGAAATTTATTGGTAAATAGTATGAAGGTCTAAAACTAACAAAAACAACCTATCTAGTTACATAACAGAAACATTATTAAGAAACCTCTAACATATTACAAAATACAAACAGTGAGACATAAAAGACATAAGACAAACATTTAAATATAAGTGCAAGGGATATATTTCAGAATTACCATGAAACTGTACGTAAGGGCCCCATTCTAGTAACTGGTGCTCCAAAAGACCCTCTCTCTCCATCTAGTGTCTATTATTGTAGGCCTCTCCTCTATTAGTTTTCATGGCGTAGCTCTGATTTGTGGGCAAATCTATTCCCTTTCATAACTGGCTAACTTCAAATCCCCTGTATTTAGCATACGCCAAGGCAACTCTTAGCACACCCTCTATGGAATTTAAGTATGCCAGTTCATGACCTTGTCCTAGGAAACTAAGTATTCGTGAAAGGCTGGTCACCTTCATTGCATATTGAAATGAGGGATTCTTTAAAGTGGATATTTGAGAAGTCAACAGGTTTGGGCCCCATTGTTAGATAAACTAACTCTGGCCCCAAACTGTCTGAAAGAGGGTTCTGAGCAGAGGAGATTCAAGACTTTTGGTACATAGTAAAGAAATTATAATTAATAGTATATTCCCTCTGGCAACTTAAACCTTCCCCAACTATCTGTAGAAGACATATTTATGAGAATTTATGAGGATTTATGAGAAGATATATTACACACCCACACTGATACAGCTCTAACTGAAATATATTTGTAATTACAATATTATGTACAGTTGTTAATAGAGATTTCACATAAGCTCATTATCTAACACTGTGGTATTGAAGTGTATTGACCTTAGCTATTTTACACAATTTCAAAGAAGATAATGTGTTCTTAGTATAATATAGAATTACTGAAGGCACATTATGCTTTAGGCCAAACAAAAAGTGATGACTGATTAGAGATTCCTTTATGATCACAACATATTTTACTTACTAACAGAATCATAGTGGGAAATGCCACATGCAAGATACCACACAAGTCAATTATGGAAAGCAACATATGGGTTTTGGATAAACAGGAGAATTGTTGCTCCTTAGGATACAGATTCCTCCATAAGTCTATCCATCTCATCTTTTGTAGAAAATGGGACACTGCTTTCTCTAGTTATTGATGTTTCATGGGTAGTGGGATATATGTCAAGCAATAGGTTCTGACAATTAAAGTCACCATTTACAAGAAGGGGAATGTCAGGTTTATCCAGCATATACCTAATAACAGGACTTTCCCTGAGAAAGGAGACAGTACATAAATTATTGCTAATATACAAACAAAGGCAAACATTTCACAATGTAGAAAGTTATACCAACCTTCATCACCTACAGCTGAACTAAATTTCTGGAAACCTCATGACTTATGTACTAGTACATTTACTCCATGGAAATAAGACCGATGAGTAATGCAGGTAGCAAGTAGTGTCCTTGATGAGATGCATTTTTCTGTAGTCCACATACTGCTGTATGGTATTCTTTAATCAGTTAGTGATTATAGTATGCTTAAGAGGATTTTTCAATCTTCTAACTTCCACAAAACCAAAGCAAAAAGCCATTATCCTTTTGGTGTGTTGGAGTGATATTTGGGTCATATAGTCCATGGCGACTTTCAATTCCACAGTTAATGTGCGTAGCGAAGTCAGCAAAGAAATTAAACATATCAGGGGTCTTGAATTATATTAAATCAGCAGATGCAGTCGTGCGGTGTGCACTGGAACCGGTGCATACTAAATATTTGGATGCAGAGAATAATGTAAGCTTGAGAGGAATAGTGACGCCTAACAATCAGGTTTTTGAGAGCAAACTTGGAGGCTCACAACAGATGTTCCAAAAATAAGGCCCACGAAAACTTTTTTTTTTTGTTTAACCTCCCTAGCGGTCTGATTATGTCAGTATTTCTGTGCTCAAAGCAGTACATTGTTTTTTCAATGGAAATATGTTGTTTTTTTATTGTAGGTCTGTAATTCTTAGGAATAACTCACTGAAATCTGTCCGAACAAGAGTCTAGTAAACATCCCGGGTATGATAAAATTTGAAACACGAAATCATAAATTATAATATAATAAATAATCATAAAAAATAATAATATAATAATAAATTTAATTAAATAATGTAATCAAACCAAAAACACTAACATTTGAAATAGAGCACCAAGTTCGCACATCACTGATCTTAGTCGCAAAATCGTTTTCAGTGTCTGATGACAAATTTCCCCACGAATCACTCAATTCTGCATGTGGTGCTAACTTACTATTGCTGTTCTCTAGCTGGTCTAAAACCGCTTTTGACCTAAAGGGACCTTTTTGGACGCCATGGACATTTCTCAGTTTCCAGGCAGAAAGAATGGTAAAAATGCAGGCAGGGCACAGGACAAAGCACTAGGGACAAAATGTATGTGAAATGGCTTGATACAGTAATGTAATACTATAAGATTTTAGTGTATTGAGTGAATGTCAAATTTTAACATTTTTGAAATTCCCGCCGGTTCCATCCCCCGTATGCCACGTATGTCCCGACGCTCACAGGGAACGGAACCCAGAAGATGGATGCCGGCATCGGCTGGAGGAAATGGCCGGGGACGCTGCAGGGGAGACATCGCGGGACCGCAGGACAAGGTAAGTGCTCGAGGGATCCCAGAGCAATGCTGCAGTGTAATACTGAGTGTAGCTCGGGGTTACCGCTTCTGGTACTGAAAGGTAACACCAAGCTACACTCAGGAATACTGCCAGGGAGGTTAATACATTTTTATTGAAAAACAAGCTTGAATTAAAAAGCAGAGGAACCGAAGTCACAAAAGGCACAAGCTTAAACCGCTGTCCATCAGATCTAATAATACTCTCTGGTATAAGAAGAGAGAAGGGGCTAGTGGATAGAAAAGTGAAGAAAAAGGTATAAATGGTAGAGGAAGGGGAAGGAAGGGGAGGGTAAGGTTGGGATTGGATAGGAAATAGGTCTACGATAGGGGAGGTCAGTGCAAACACCCTAACTATATTAAAATAATTTTTATTAGTTTTTAACAGGTACAGTTGCAAGTGAAGAAACACAAAAAAGGGGAAAACAAGTTCTCAGTTGTACAAGTGATGATAAATTGCTTGACAATTTCAACATATTAAATGCTAAGTATTTTACATAGCAATAAATGTTTTCAATTCCAATACAATGAAGAACCTCTAAAGGAAAAGAAGGGGGGTAGGAGGAACAAACGATAAGAAGGACATAAACAACTAAGGGATAACTAACTTAAACCTTATACCAGTCAAGGTAAAATTGTATACTCCGTATTGAGTGGGCTATCTTAATTTATCTGTACAATTTGGATTATGAGACTATATAGACCAAGAACGAATACATTTGGTGTAAGAAAGGTTGTTTAGGGCAAATCTCCTTTCAATTTCACATTGTAAATTCAGGTCATTAATTGTCAAAGTTATAGAAGGTGATGTCATTGATTTCCATAGCCTAGTAATGTTATTTTTTGCTGCATATAAAATGTGGATTATTGTGCTACGCGTGTTAGGGAAAATTTTTCCAAGCCAATATGGAATAGTTGTAGCATGGGGTCAGGGTTTACTACATTACCTATTATTTCGGAAATTATATTACAAACACCATTCCAGAAGACCACAACAGGTGCTAAACACCCTACCTATATGACCAGCAATTACATTTGAAATCCAATGTCAACAATTGTCTTTAGACATAATATCCAAGTAAGACAAAGTATATTTAAAAGTGAACCAACAGCCCCATGGCTCATGGGTAATGGTGGATAATTTTCGGGCTTCATCCATATGTTCTTCCATGAGGTAGATATGAATAATTATTTGAATCCAACATTACATGGTAGGGATGGTTTTCTGTTTTCAAAATATTGGAATAAGAGATTTTGCCACGTTTAGCAGTGGAATAATATAACCCATGGTCTTTCAAATCCTTTGATGGTTTTATCCACTTCCTGTCTGGACACTTTTACCCCCTTCCTGTCCAGGGCAATTTTCAGCTTTCAGCGCTATCACACTTTGAATGACAATTGCGCGGTCATGCAACACTGTACCCATATTAATTTTTTACCATTTTTTTGAGACAGATAAAGCTTTATTTTGGTGGTATTTATTCACCGTTGGGATTTTTTTTTTTTTTTTGCTATATAAATGAAAAAGTCCAAACATTTTGAAAAAAGTCTTTTTCTTATAAAATTTTGCAAATCAATAATATTTCATCATAAATCTTGGCCAAAATTTATTCCGTTATCTTTTTAGTAAAAAAAAAAAATACGCCAAATTAGTTTATAACCAAGAATTTTAATTTTTAAACTTTTTTTTTACATTTTTTTTTTTTATTTTTTTATATTATTATTTATGTTTTTTTTTTTTTACATACCGTCACCCTAGCAGTACAGTGTCACCATAGTGACACTGTACTACTTGTGGGGGATGATGAAGATTTTTTTTTTTTTTACAGTGATTGATTTTACACCCATATAGGATGTAAAAGCAATCATTTCTCTTTCTCTCTGTCTGCATTCTTGCAGCCATTGAGAAATACTGTGTGAGCTGTGATTGGTCAGAGCTTGTCACATGGTACAAGGCTGTTGTGAATAGCCTTGTACCATGTGACCTCTGTGATCATTCACAGATTTCACACGTAGTAAGCAATAATGTCACAAGTGACATCTTGCTTACTACTTTGCATGTGATCACTGATTGGCCAATCAGTGATCACATGATCGGGACCTCGTACAGAGGTCCCGTCCCACGATCGGTGTTTCACTGTGTCCGGAGGACACAGCGGGCACCGGATCGCGGTGCTGCTCGCTCCCAGGGAGCGTGCACAACTAGAAATAGCGGGTGCCGTTTATGAACAGCAACCCACCCCTGGAGTGCCACCGCCCTGCTATTTAAAAACAGCAGGTGGACGGCAAGTGGTTAAACCAAGTTAAAGTGTTATTAAACCCACAACAGTAAAATCAGTCTGTATATGCAGTAAAGCATGCTTGATATACTCACTGTGGAACCTATCATCTGCGATGTATAAAAATGCTGTTTGATCCTGACTTCTCTGATCCTCCCCTTCCTCCAGTGTACCCCTCTTATCTTCTGATAAGACATATCTTGTGGAGGCACTCTGCACATGCTCAGTTTGGTGTGTATTGCTAGAGAGTTTTTTTTTTCTTGGGAGAGTGCATGTGAACAGTACAAGGCCAATCAGCACTGTTCAGACAGAGTTCATGGGTTCTACATCCTCCTAGAGCATAAAGAAAACTCCTCCTACAAGCTTTAACCAGTGCTCTGCTACACACTAATAGAAGTCACAAGCCTGCTCTAACTGCTGATGAGAAAAGGTATTTAGCAGTTTATATATACTAAAATAATTGCATTTCCATGTAGTGTGTACTGTGGGAGACCAGATAGAATTAATGCAGGGTCCTGGGTTTAGTTACACTTTAAGGTTATGGACCAGTAAGAACATATGAGGGGGCATTAGCACCATATATGAGCATGTGTAGCAATGGCTGCACAACCTGCTGGTTCATCAGGAAATATCTGGTGGAGTTTGGTGGGATTGTAATGCCATTGAGATAACAGCTTAAAATAGACTTCCACCATCTTAGAAGAAATAGAGGAAATGTGTTTTAGTTTTGTAGAATCTTATTTTTTGATCATCCGATAGGTTGGTTTTGAGTTCAGGCTCCCAAAAATCAGATAACAAGGGTATGAGAAGGGTACAAGATTCAGCAGAGCAAGGTAAAGTGTGAAATGCCCTTCTGCAAGAGCAGAGAATGAAAAGACTTTTTCAATAGGGTTAAGGTCTTTCAAAGACTGCAAAGGTTTTGGTAGTGAATTAACAAATGGACATTCTTGAGTATAACACCATTTATCCATAAAATAAGGTGTAGATTACGTAATAAGGGATTCCACAGGTTGCATGGTTTTATCACGTGGTGCAGAAGTAGTGGTTTGTGAGGTGGCCAGGATTGGAACTGCAAATTCATGGAGCCAAGTAGAAAGTAGGAGTGACTCAATAAAGGCATCAGAGGGGAGTTAAATGACCAACCCTGTTTCACATGAATAGAATCCCAGACTGCTAAGGAGGAGATGGTTAATGGAGAAGAATGATTGGATAGATTCTTAAAATATTTAGGGATCCATGGCAATGCAGCGAGAGGGGATTCACTAAGATCATATTCGACCCACAAAAACATATAGTGGAATATAGTATCAACTCAGTGTGAAAGTAAGTAATTCAACAATTCTTTTCAGGAACCCATGTCATCTAAGGAAAAATATAACCCATTGCCAGCCCTATGGTGTTGAATACACTGTCACTTAAAGAGGACAGCCATGCATTGAAGGTACACTCACCAAACTGTATATGATCACTCCACAATTGCTTGAGGTCGTTTTTAATTGCATGATTCATTATTACCCAGCCAAAAAGAAGCATCCAAAGCAGTTTCAAAAATGTTTTTCTGACCACAGTCAGTGAACCTCAATTTTGTTGGGTAAAGAATTGCATAAGACAGTTGGAGGTTTTGTGCCCTTCTAGTTACATCAATGAATTTGATTCTCCTTTGCTGCACTTCAGCAGAAACGTTAGAGCAAAAGTTGACCTTCACCCCCATTGTAGCAAACATTTTTCTGTTCTCAGACTAGCTACAGAATAATTCCCTTGTTTTTATAACGGATTTGTGCTAGCATAGGCCATAGAGGGTCCCATGGTGGTAAGGGGTGCATAGATGTCCCTTTTACATGTTATATAGAAAATAGAGGGTAAAAGCTTCCTCACCGAAAGCCTCTAGCAACCACTGTTCCACAAAGTTAGTGGGGTTTGATCTCTCCACAAATCTCGGTAAACCCAGTGTGCAGACATTATCTACCTTAGAGTCTTTTATCTGTAGCTAGTGAATTTCTGTGTGTTGTAGAAAATGTCTTGTGTGTTGTCTTTACCCTGAAGTTAAGGTATATTTACCAGATTTTTTTCATGTGATCTTTGCCTCTGTCCCTATATTGAGGACGCTGATGCAGATGCAGGTGTAGATGTCATGTTGGCTCTACTGGGTCATGGTTTCTTCATGGTTCTTGTGGGTCATACTAATTGTACAGATGGTTTATCAAGGTCCCTGGGGGTGTCAAGCTTGAATAAGTATAAGCAGCCAGGTAAACAGGCTGGGTAAATGATCTTTGAAGGATCTACATCGAGAGTTTAATAAGTTCCTTCTGCTCACATGCTGCACTTGACCATGCTCCTGCATTGTAAAGATTTATGGGCAGAGGAGAATTATAATGTCTCTTCTACAAAAAAACTCTAACCTGCTGGCAATTTTTTGTTATCCAAGTTTAGTTCTGCTTTAAATCATCACACTTCACCTACATTATTTTTACTTTAACCTGCCCTTGGTTGAGATAAAAGTCCTACTGAAGCAACAATATGTTTTCATTGTGGTACTTACTCTATTCTTACTTCAGTGGCTCCATATATTGACAGGTGGTCATTATATCCTTAACCACTTCAAGTCCAGGCACTTTCACCCCCTTCCAGTCCAGGCCACATTTCAGCTTTCAGCTCTGTCACATATGGCAATTACTCAGGCATGCA